CAGACTGTGATAACACGCACAACAACGGATATTCACTAAATACTGAAAACAACTACCTCTTACGTTTTAAAGGATTCATAGTTTTCTAGTCCTGAGATCTGAAGAAGTCTTAAGGCGTGTAACTCGATAAAATGGGTAAACTGAGGCCCAGGGCAAGACAAGTCCAGCAGGTGAAGGGGGCATGAGGAGGGGTCCTTGTCCATTCTCTGGAGCTGTGAACATTTATAACACATCCCCACACTTGTGCAAAGGGCAAATGGAAGACAGGACAGCCCTGACTGCTCTCACAGCTGTCCAACGCCTGCGGCACCTGCTTCTCCCCCTCCCCACAACGTGAGCACAATGGCCCACGCATCCTGGGAATCAGCTCTCCTCTCTGATCCCACCAGACCAGCCCTGGCCCAAAAGCAGGATCAGGCAGGGCCTAGGCGGCGGGGTGCTCCAAGATGAGAGCAAAGCGACACCCTTTCCACTGGCTCCACAAAGAGCCCTAGGGAAATCCATGACCCAAGTGTCCCAGCCAGATAAAAGCTCCTGCACAATGGACAGAATGAGTTTCCGGTCCCCTGGGCAGAGAGGCTGTCGGTTGCCTATCCGCTCACCTCCATCCAGCACAGCAAGCTGGGCTGCCGGTCTGTGTGGCCCCAGAAGCCCTGCATGGCCCGTGTATCCCCACAACAGCAGGAGATCTGCAAGGTGACAGCTCCTCAAGCTGGAAGGCCCTGTCCCCAGAAGCCTGGCCTCATGGGAAGCTCTGACTTAACTGTACCCAGCCAGGCCCTGGTTCCCAATTCACAGAGCAAGCCAGCAACTAAGAGCCCAATCTGCAGCCTCAGGAAGCTCAGAGAAGACACCTACTAACCTCCTCACCCACTTTTTGGCAAGGGAAGACCCAAACTACCCTAACAGTAATCTTCTGGGAAGACCCTGTGGCCATGGTCCTCAGGGAAGACCATGCTATGTCCTAGGTTAGAGGTCAAGGGCAAAGACAACTGTGACCAGGAGAGCGGGAGAGGGCCATGGGCTGACCTTCCTCAGCAGCAAAGTTCTGCAGACATGGGGAGGGGCTCTGAAAAGGACAGGTGGGGCTCACATCAAGAACCTCAAGGGCTTAGAAAAAACTTCATATTTCCTCTCTGTGTCGTCCAGGCAGTCCCACAGCTCCAGGCCTGAGGAATTTACCAGGCCCTGCTGAATTCACCACGTTTCAATCATACAAGTTCAATCGTACTCTGTGACCTGTGCAAACAAACTGCTTCCTCTTATGACCTATCAAAAGACCCTTCCTGTTTCCCAGGAAAGCCCCCAAACTCTGATGAGCAAACGAAGTCCTGTCCACCCCACTGCCTGCCCAATTGTGCTGCCGGTCAGTCCCATGCCTCCAAGGCATGTTTCATTCTTTTTGCCATAGCTCAGGGAGGCAGACCTCCTTCTCTTGAGCTGGCCTCCTGGAAGCCCCCCATTGGGGGTTAGGCTAAGATCCAACAGCCAGAGGATCTATGGAACTGCCAAGGGCACCCGGTGGCTCAGAACACAGGGATGTGGGGTCTTGCCCCAAGCAGCAACCCCAGGGATCAGCACAGCAGGAAGCACATGCATCTCCCACGGTCACTCCTGAGGACCCAGGGGGTCACTCTTGGACAAGCAGACCTATCCAGAACTTTAGAGTCAGTATAAAAATTATATTAAGCTTAAGACACTTCAAATTCAACAGATGCAGAAAGTGACCTCAGAGAACCCTACTGACAGCAGCAACTTCTAGGAAATAAGACCACAGAAACCCCCATGGGGGAATTTCCTGCCATAAACATGACCGAGCCTTGGTGCTTTCATAATCAAATATGGTCAAAGCTCACTCTGTCAGTTCTCCTCAAAGCCCACTGGTCTGGCCTAAACAAACCTATCTGTCCTTCTCAGAGGAGGCTCGTCTCTCCCCTTCTCTTTCCTCAGTGAGAAACCACCACTCTGAGTTACTCCTGGTGCACTCTCATTACAGGATGATCTGGAAAACAAACTCTCCTGCCTGCCTGTCTTTCGTCAGTTTAATTCACAGGCTGTCCAGGACTGAACATAAGAAAATAAACACTGTTTTCCTCCCCTACACCTGGGTCAGCAGCCAGGGACAGCTCCGTCCAGCGTAAGGCCATCATGAGAGGATGAGCTCAGAGTACACAGGGCAGCTCCTCTAGCCCAGCCCCGTGGTTGATCACAAGGAGACCAGCAAGGGTCAGCAAATCCTCCATACCCCAGTTTCTACCTGAGGACACAGAGGACACTCAGGCTCCTCCTAGAGTTATGGGGAGAGCTAAGTATACGGGGTCAAGTTGATCAAGCTGGCTCCTAGGGAATCCTTAAAAATGGCCCTAATGATACTAAAGGATGCCATGCACAACTGCCTATGGGCACCCTGGTGTTCTCCTTTTCCATGTCCATGGGTGCCAGCCACTTGTTTCTCTCAGATGCCACATTCTCACTGCCACATTTCCCAACCACCTGGCAGGCTCAGATACTGTGCTGAGTTTCATCAGGGTTTCACAATGGACTAGACAAAGTCCCCTCCCAGTGAGCACTCACATCCATAGACTCAGCGAAGTGAAACCTATACACATATACACAAAAACAAGTGATATCATTAATAGCAATAAGACAACGTTACCAGAATCCTCACTGTGTTGGGCATATGCTAAATACTATACATATTGTTAGCTACCACAATGAACTCAAAAACAGTTTGTGGGTGAAAAAGTGAGGGTGCTGAGGTGTTAAACATTGTAGCAGACACAAATCGGGGTGCCTGGCCAAGTCTGTCTGATCCCTCTCTGCCTTTGGAAAATCAACTGGCTCTTCTCTACTGTACAGTGATTGGGCGACAAGGTGATCATGTGACCCAGGTAAGGCCAATCAGAGTTCTTCCTGGGAATTTTTGCCTGGGAACTGTAGGGAAAATCTGCCAGGTCTCTGGTCATGGAGTTAGGTTGATGGGAGTTGACCTTGTATTTCTAGTGGCCAGAGTCTGTCTTGTAGAGAAGTCCATCAGAAAGAATTAGGTTGTCACAGAGAAATGGGGCCCTAAAAGCAGAACTCATGCAAGCCTCTAGATCCACTCCTACAAACCAGCTCCAACTGCTCCCTATTGCATTTTGACCCAGAGTCAACAAATTACCTTAATGTAGATAAAGCTGGTTTTTCATCAGTTGCAACTTGTAGCATCCTAAGCAAAGGTCCCCTTGCCCAAGTCACATGCTACTAAGCGGCTGCCATTCCAGGAGCCTCTTGCATAAGGTGTGACAAGATTATGGACTCAAGGTGGTGGCAGTGGTGGCAGCAGTAGCAGCATTCTGCTGTTTAATTATCTATAGGTGTTTCCGGAGAGGTGGGCAACTGCGGGCTGATAATTCCCAATGGCTCAGTTCCCAGAGAGAAAGGCATGGCCAATGGGCATTCCATGAAAGCCACAGTATTATCATCAACAGATTCCTTAGTGCTTCTGCAAAGTGCAACGTGAAGGACCATGCTATGCCCCGTGTGCCTCATCCAGTCACCCCAAACCCTTCGTGGTAAGTCCTGTGGACGCTGTTTTAAAAGTGCAGATGGAAGCTGAGTATGATGCGCACCTAATAGGCCCACCTGTAATCCCAGCATTTGGGAGGCTGAGGCAGGAGGCCAGTCTGGACTACACAGTAAGATCCTGTCTCAAAAAACCAAAATAGGTATGTAGGAGGTAGACAAAGAGAAAGGAATAAAAAAAGTTCAGAAGGAGGGGCTGGGGCTGTGGCATAGTGACAGAGCTGCTGGTTCAATCCACAGCACCTAAAAACAGTTTTAAAACAAAATTTTTGATTAAATAAATAAAAGCACACAAGGGGACACGCCAGAGGGTTAGCAACACTACGAAACCACAGAGACAGAAGAGGACAGAGTCAGAGCCAGAACTCTCGGTTGATTCTCTGGTACCCTACTTCGTACAGCATCACAGTCAGTTCCGGGCTAGCAGAGCCTCTGAACACCATCCATGTCAGAGTACGCCGATTCTTTCGCAGACCAGGCCCATGTGGGAGTCACCTTTTGGCCTGTGTGACAAAATGGCCAGCCACCTTCTTCACTGTCTTCAAACAGGCCCAAGGATCCTAATCTTAAAAATAAGGGAGCTTTGCCAGGGATTTAGTTCAGTGGCACAGTGCAAGCAAAGGCCCTGAGTTTGATTCTCAGTACAAAGAAAAAAAAAGAATGAGTCTAGAATAGCCATTAGTGGCCCATGTCGGGGGCAGTTAACCCATTTTTCCTCCCTGTCTCCCCGGTCTCTGCCCCATTAGCGCCAAGGGGCCTACTATGGCCTGTAGGTGTGTTTTGTTTAGCATTTCCAGCAGTTTTTAATTTTAACATTTAAAAGTTGGAATTACCACATAGATACCTGGATTTAAATTTTCCACAATAATTTTTTAAACCCTTCCTTACAAAGATACATTTCTGATTTTTTTTGAAAAACAAAATAATCTTCTTGTGACAAGAACCCTGCGTCTCTGGGGGACACCCACATTAACCAGGGTGTAGGCCTCGCCTCCGTCCCAGAATGCACTGTGTCTCTCATTTTCCTTGCCTGGTCCCTGTGAACACTCACTGCCCACACCACGGTTCCGGACTCCCTCAGAGATGGTCAGATCCCCTGCTGTCTCCCAGCCAGGACTGGGCATTTCCCACAGAGAGGAACCTCAGGGACATCCCTCCAGCAACAGGCAAGTGAGGCACCAGACTGTGCGTGAGTCAGCTATAACATGTCCAAGCCACCATCCCTAGGCTCCCACTGATGCCAGGAAGAGGCAGGGCACAGCCCAGGGTGGCTATCAGACCAGCTTGAGCCTACTGTAGCTTGACACGCTGCTGCCAAGCCTGTGCCTATGCCCAGGAGCAAGCAGTGACTCCCCAGGTGCCCCTGGGAAGCACCAGCCAAGCAATCAGCACCAGTGGTCCACTGGGCCCACCCCAGGGCATGGGACACTCACGATGTTCATGAGGGTGAGCACGTAGTTCTGCACATGCTCCCTGCCGTGGAAGCGAACCACCGAGTCGTCCACCACCAGTAGCACCTCGATGCTGTAGCTGCCCGGCTTGGCGTGGCGCCGCTTCCGCTCCGTGTCGCCCAGCTGGTCCCCTACCAGGCTCAGCAGGTTGGGAAGGTCACCCGGGCCAAAGGCTGGAACAGGATGGGTAGAGAGGGAGCACTGGTTTGTCATCATGTTCATTTACCCACAATTATCGGAAGCCCCTGGATAATGGGTAAGGAGTTGGGGCACAAAGATGCCACTACTACACCCCCACACCCCCAGGATGCATCAGGAGGTGGCTGCAGGAGGCCCCATGCTTGGCAGGGGAATAGTGTGGTGATAAAGGGGGCCTGCTTGCAGGCCCACCGGCCAGTGGAGGTGACAGCTACAACGTCTGTAAATTGAAGATCCCTTATCTGAAATGCTTGGGACCAGAGTTTTTCAGATTTGAGGATATTTGCATAGACTTTGCCAGTTCAGTATCTCTAATCCAAAAATCTGAAATGAGAAATGTCCCAAAATATGAAACATTTTGCGTACGTCAGCTCCTGGCTGCCCCAGTGCCTATGGTGAATTCAACAGCTCAAATTGAGAAAAAAAGAGGGAGGAGCCCAAGACAGGAAAAGAGGCCAAGGGCTCCCTCCACTGAGTGAGGAGAATAAATGACAGTCACCCCAGAAATTTAAATATTGCAAATAAAATGCTGAACTTGACCTCTCAAAGCCTTCCCTGCTAACTTTGCCAAGTGAGGCTCAGAGAAGTTAAGTGACTCACCACAGACCACACAGCATGTGACTGATAAACTCAGGTGACCCCTCCTCTGTTACACCATATCAGGGCACACCTGACTTCCCTCTCAGCAGACAGGTGGGGAACAGAGGATGAGTGGGGCTGACATCACCCACAGATCCTGGGGGCATCCCAGCCACACTGGCTTCTATGTGTCTTTCAGGCTGAAAGCAGATAATCCTTCAGATCAGACACGGCCTGGGGGGCTGGGTGGGGAGCAGCACTGGGAGGCTTAGATGAGCCCACCCAAGAAGCCCTACAGGAATGTACAATTTGGGCTGCATCGCAAAAACAATTGGCCATCCCCCAAGAATTTAAACCTAAAGTTATCATGTGATCCATGAAGTCCACTCCTAGGTACACACCCAAGAGGTCCAAAAGCCTATGTCCACAAAAAATAATTTGACACAGATGTTCAGTTCAGAGCAGAATTGTCTTAACAGCCAAACTGGAAAACCCCAAATGTGCATAGGCAGATGAGTTGATAAATAAAACAGTACATTCAAACCATGGAATATTATTCTACCATAAAAAGGGTGACTCCATAACACAGATGAACCTTAAAAATACGCCAAATGAAAGAATCTAGTCACAAAAGGTAACATGTTATACACTTACAAGAAACAACCTGAATGGGCAATCCTGAGACAGAAAGTTGATGAACGATAATCAGGGAGCTGGTGAGACGGAGACAGAAGCAACAACCAATAGAAATGGAGATTTTTGTAGAAGTAATGGAAATGTTGTTTTATTTTATTGCAAGACAAGGTCGTGTTAATTCCTAGGCTGGCCTCAAACTTGTGATGCTGCCTCTCCCTCCTAAATGCTGGGATTACCGGTGTCTGCCACTGCTCTCAGCAGGCAACGGAAATGTACTGCGATTAGCCAGGGGCGGTGGGGAATATAGCAAGAAACCACTGCACTGTGAACTCAAGCATGGTTAAAATGGTACATTTTTATCTCAATTAAAAAAAAAAAAATAACAGCCATAGCCCTGGTCACAGACGCATATGCTCTGACCACTCCCAGCGGCTGCCTCAGGAAGGACGGGAGGACGAGAGGGAGAGGGCAGGCTAAGAGCAGCCTGGGTGGAAGAAGAAGGCGGTGTTAGGAGCAGAGACGTGCAGAAAGCAGTTAGGAAGAAGGCCAGGGCGGCCCACGCGAGGGTCGGCTGGCAGGCCAGCCACAGGATTCTACCTGGACATTCTGGGTTTCATTTCTCACCATGCCCTTGAGGACAGAATTACTTAAATCCTCTGTGTACCCTCAGAGACCTGTGTGACTGTCTGAAAGTGTATGTGTGTTGTCTGGGTCTAGCGTGTGCCTGGGTTTGTGTATATGTGTATGAAGTATGTGTGAGTGTGATGTGTGGGTGTGGGTAGGTGTGTTAGTGTGCAAGAGTATGGAAGCATGTGCAGATGCATGTGAATAAGGAGGTATGACTGTGTGTGGGTGCACAAGTACACATTTGTGGATGTGGAGGTAGGGTATGTGTACCCGTGTGTCAGGGTGGTGCATGGGTGTGTGTGACACATGTGCCCTCTTCCGGAAGCAGCAGCCAAGAACACACCTGCATGCTCTGAGGGTCTTCTGCACCCCAAGTTCATGGGGTGCACTAGACACCCTTGCTGTGGAGCCACCAGTCAGGCAGCCCCTCTATAGCTGCAGCTGGCTAGGATGCTGGGTCTAGTGGAGCCCGATGCATATCCCTTCTCCCTGGAAGACAGACACACCACAAGAACAGGAGCCATGACAGTGACAAAAAGATGATGGCACCTCGAAGTCTGTCCTCCAGGGCCTCGTAGCATATGTGGGGGAAGGGGACAGCCAAGAGCATCCCAAGGCCTGAGGGGCCAAGGGAAGAGGCACCTGCCGAGATAGAGCAGGCAGAGGCAGTGTGCCCTGGCAGGGAGGCCGTGGTGCTGGGCACGCTCAGCAGGTGTCCCTCATGCAAGCAGTAGAGCAGAGCCGGGAGGAGACTTCCTGCCCCTGTCAAGCTCATCACACTGACATTAGCACACTGGGACACTTCTCCAAACCAGGGTTCACGCCCACTGCTCCTTCCACTCAGAGTCAAGGGTGTCCAGGAAGTCTCCAAGTGTTGCCAGTCTTTCCAAAGACAGACCACAGATAGGTGAGCTGGACCCCAGCCTGCCCCCAGCAGCTTCAGGCAGCAGCCTTAGGCTGGAAGAGGAACACCCATGTTTCCTCAAGCCTGAACCCCAGCTCTGCCAGCCCATTCTTCCAGCTGCCATAGAGTGGCCCAGACTTGCGGTCCTGGAGCTAGACCTCCTAAGGCCTCTCCTCAGAAGGGGATAACGATTTTTTGGTTCAGAACTGGCCTCTACTAAAACAGAGCCTTATCACTCTACCCCCTCAGGGGTCTGTGGGCCCCACCAGCTGGCTCCTGAAGTGACATGAGGGAGTAATCCTTGGAGCATCGGTCCAGCCCCTCGCCCCCCAGCCCCAGGCCTGCAGCACCCTCTGCGCTGTCTTGTGAGTGACACTGGGGAGCAGCTGGAGCTTCGGAGCAATCATTGTCTTTGGGGACAACTGGTTTCCAGGCATTCCTTCACGCAACACTCAAGCCCACAGGGCCCTGGCACAAGGGTGTGGCCCTCTCCCCACCAGATTCCACTCGGCCTGCGTCATGGCCTCTGAGCTAGAGGGGCTTCGTGACAAAGCTAAGTTTGACTACAAAGCTGGCCGCCAGCCCAGGACCAGCACCCACCCCATCCCTTTCACTCACTCAAGTGTAGCTCCTGGGTGTCGCTGGTGTGCAGGCTCCCAGGCTGGTCCTGCCCCCCAGGAGGCTCCCACCTAACATGTCAGCGGGTGCCCCACAAGTATTATGCCACCTACCACATGTGTTCTTACCAACGCCTGCTCCAGCCTTGGCAGAGAGACTCTGCCCGTCCCACTTCACTGATTAGTAAAACGAGGCTCAGAGACATTGAGGAACCTGCATGGGTCACAGGGTGGCCAGGTCAGAGGCAGAAATAAAGACGGCCTGCTGGACACACAGCCAACCCTGCTCCCCGACGCTGGAATTCCTCTCCTTAGGATCTCCTTCCTGTGGCTCCCCTGGCACAGAGTTGGTGTGCAGGGGAGAGCTAACTGCAGCCACTCTGCCTCTGCCTTGGCTCAGAAAAGCCTTGAGAAGCAACACTGGGCCCCTTAGAGACACCTGGAGTCCCAAGAACCACAGTGCAGGACACAGGTGTCCCCTTCCAGCCAGGTACGGCAGCCCTGACGTCACTGCTGGTACAGAAGCTCTTGTGGCCCAGTCCCTCTGTACAGATGAGAAGACCATGGTCAGAAGTCACTCTGAGGGTGTGGACAAAGGTGGATTTCGGGCCTCTGTCCTCCGCCTACCTTCATTGTGAAGGACTTGGTGAGGCTCTCCTCTGTCCCGCTGCACGGCTTCGCGGCGGTACACCACGTGGGTCCTCCCGCCAGCCTCCTTCTCCTGCTGGCCCCGCTCCAGAGGCTCGATGAAGTAGTCGGTGCTGTCAGTGCGGATGAGGCCCGCCTGCAGGAGGGGAGACAGGACAGGGGTGGCACAGGTGTACAGCAGGGTGGCACCTGTGACTGCAAACGTGTGTGATCATGGATGTGTGACTGCTCTTCCTCCAGCCTGGGCTTTTAGAGCCCTGGGATGCCCAGGACCGGGGAGGGGCAGAGCAGCTGAGCACCTCCGGGCCTCCCCAAATCCAGTGAAGCACAGCCACATTTTCTGTGCCTCGTATCGGTGGAGCAACATATAAAATTTCATTTGAACAAAAGGTCCCATTGCTGTACACGGAGAGGAGGCACAAAAGCCACGGCCACCAGGGACATGAACACACCCAGCCTCCGCATTTTGACCCAAAGCACATCAGGTGGACCTGGCTCTACCTACCGGCAGACAGAAGGGGGACGTGAAACCTAGGGGCAAAGGTTAAACACCCTGCGGTGGGCACTGCCCCCCACTCTAATACAAAGTGCTACTGTTCCAGAGCACAGGTCCCCGGGGGCAGCTAATGCTATGGACAAGAAAGGAGCCAGGAACTCGAGCTCTGTTCCCAATCTAATTTTTTGCCTGCATCTAAATACTCCCTTTAAAAAAATCAGGTGTTGGTCCTGGAAATAAAAATATAACTGTGGCCAAACCCAATAAATGTGTTGTTAGCCACCAATGACGGCAATAAAACATAAATAGACGTGTGCTGACATGTGTGTGCCCGCGTATGCACAGATGCACACACAGGCACACACGTCACCTCCATGAGGTGGTGAGGCCACCTCACCTGTGCATGGAAAATTGTAGGCAATATTTAATAAATAAAATTTTGGTTGAACTTGTTCACTCATTCAACAAATATTCATTTGTTGTGCCTACAACCTACCAAGCCACGGGAGTACAGCTGCGAACACAGATCAGTGAATGAAAAAACATTTTATAAGTCGACTGGACTTTCTCCGTTTCCATTTTAAACCTCCGCACCTTTTCAAGGTGAGTTCTTACTATGTAAGCCTTGAACTTGCTATGTAGCCCAAGCTGGCCTCGAACTTGGCATCTCACACCTCCAGCCTCAGCCACCCAGAGGCTAGGATCGTAGGCATAAGCCACAAAAGCCAGACGAACCCTTGTTCCAAGGCAGCCACTTCCTGCAATCCAGTTCCGCCCATTTCCCCAGCTCAGCCTGCTCTGAGGAGGCATCATGGGAAACCTCCTCAAGACCACCGAACACCTACTCCAGCGACAGCCAGCCTTTTTATGTCCCCTCACATTAAACACCAGTAAAACAGAAAATACTAGTTTATATCAAAACCAAAATGAGCAGCCTCTGTACCTCATCATAGACCTTATCAGAAGGCCACAAAATACCCTGAGGAAAATGGGAACATTAGTGGGATGGAGTCCAAGGCTTCCTGAGAAACCATTTTGTCAGTCGATGATCTGCAAAAATCCTGGTGGAGTTGTTTAAAAGCCAGCATCAAACCTTATACAGAGCACAGCAGAGTCACACACACATTTAGACCTCTCAGACTGTATTCTTGCTGTATTTCAGGCTGAGAAAAGCAGGACTCAGCCTGTGGCTGTGAGTCGCTCACATTTAGAGGAGTCAAGGGTGACCAAACACGGGATGTAACCTGGAGTCTCAGGGGCTGCCATCAGGAAAAGGCATGTGTCAGATTCCTGGTCACAAGGGCTAGAAATTCAATGCAAAGCCCTGGCCCAAAGGGCAGTATGCTGGCCCCATGGCAAATCTCAGCAGAGGCAGGAACAGAAGAGAAGGACCCAAATGTTCTCAGTTGCCTCTGCCTGCATCAGCTTCATCTTGCCTGACAAGATGCATGTCCCCATCCGTGCAGAAACATTTCCACTCCACCGCCAGAGACAAGGAGCCCTTTCCTCCACAGTCCCACACCCAGGCTAAGGGAGAGCTGGGGTAGGTCCAGGCTATCATACAGTCAGTCTGGGATTGCAGCTGCTATTAGATCCTCACAGCCAGAGGAAGGGGTGGCTGCACAGGAAGAAGGGAGAAGCTGGCAGGGTGGACAGGGCAGGCCAGGTAGAGGGACCCTTTGGGCAAGGGTGTGGACAAGAAGTGATGGTCAGATCACTTGGTAGAACCCCCCAAAAAGAAAGCCCCAAAGGATGCAGCACAGAAGGTTCCCCAAAGCTACTGCAGCTCTGTGGCCAGGAGCGCTTGTAAGCAGACCCTCAGGCAAGCCCCTCACCTCTCCATTCTACCCTCCTTCCTGCACCCGTCTGCCACCCAGACGGCCATCCTAGCACAAGCAAAGCAAGAGAGCCCTCTCAGCCTGGTCCATCCAGCCCAGCTCAGACAGTCAGGCCCAGGCTCGTGGCCCGAGCAGCCTGGGCCCCTCACACCTCTCAAAGCAGCCTGCAGAGGGGAATTCTCCAGAGAGGAGCAGAAGACAATGTCAGACTCTCCCCCACACAGGCCCCAGCCCTGGTCCTCCCCTATTCTGGGACTCAGTTAACCAGCTGCCCAGAAATCATCCTTCAAACCCAGCATTTCCTGCCTCATGGCTGATGGATCCGTGTGGCCTTTCAGAAGGATGCAGGCTCCAGGACAATGTGGATGGCGTAGCCTGTGCTGTACTGCCTTCCGGTCCAGTGATGGAACACGGACCTCTCCAGAGCATCGTGCATGGCCCAGTTTGAGGCTTCCTATCTCGACAACAAATCCAGCGAGGGTACCTCTAATTTTTGCTTGGATGCCTCTAGTGACAGAGAACTTTCCTCCTCCCCACAATGCAACATAGTTTATATACAGCACTCCTAAAATTTACTGAGCGGAAATAAACACTGCATCATTCCATACTTTATAGACAATCTTATAATCCCAGTTATTATTAATAATAGTACCTACCACTTATATTGACATGTATTATCTTACAGTATTTCACCTTCCTATCCCTATAATGTAGGCACTAATATGACACCCATTTCATGGAGGAGGAAACAGAAGATCAGAAAGGTTAAGTAACTTGACCGAAGTCACCCAAGAAAGTCAGTACCAGAAATGGAGCCCAGTGCTGTGTGGCCCTAAGGTTCCCCAAAGCTACTGGGTCACCAATGGGCCCGTTTCTGTCCTTGGGACCACTGGGAGCAAAGAAGCACTGCTTTCCCGGTCCCATCTGTGACTCCCTGGGCCTCTGTCCAGTCTGACCTGCACGGCAAGGAAGCTCGCATCCCACCTCTGCATGTGAGAACTCAGGAGATAGGCAGTGCATGGCCGTAAGGGAGCATCCCTCCCTGCCGACCTCCCAGTCCGAGGCCCAAAGGATTCTCAGGCCCACACAAACCCTCTTGATCACACCATTAGCTCCACCAAATGGAAACCACGGCTCCTGCTCAGCCTCCCTGCCCTCCAGCCTCACCCTCACTCCAGGAGAAGTGCCTCTTCCCGTCCCAGCCCTGTGAACTGTTTATCATAAAAGAGCTACACCGAGTGGAAAGGAAGTCTCCAACTTTCTGTCAGCTCAGACACACACTCCCAGGGACCAAGGATGAAACCTCCAAAGACACTGGCCTTCCCCCCCCCATTATATCTGTACCCGCCATGACAGCAAGGCAAGCTGGCCTCACACCTGGCTCCAGGTATTTCTAAACTTCACTAAGATCTCCACAGTATGACCCAGCTGGGCAGCACGGGCCCAGTCCCTTCCCAGGGACCTTGGGCTCCTCCTCTGCACAATGAGAGGTTTGGCTCAAGTTCCTCTGAATCTCTGCCCTGGCCAGGAAACCAGGCACCATGCGGGGCCCACAGACTGGCAGGGAGAACTTTCTGGCTCCCTGCCACCTCACTAAATTATTCCCATCTCTCAATTTATGAGATGTTTATATTTCTGAAAAGTAGTGGCTAATTTTAAAGCTCTAAAATCAAATCAAATTTCTGGATAAGACATCAAGGGAAAGAAGCGGAAAATAAATTCTGGTAGGCTGGAAAATAAATGTCAGCCCGATCTGTTTCCACCCATTTCTTATTCTTTCGCAAATAGTACATAAGTGCGAAATATATACTAGAAAGGTTCTTTAAGCAATAAAATAAAACAGAATCGCTGATTCTATCTAACACAGCCACACACCACATGGGCCCTTGGCCAATCCCTCCACATGGAAACTCTCCAGCAGGCAGGCCCAGCCACCCCAGGCTTACTCTAACTCCCTTTCATGTGGCTGCTTTGGAGCTGCAATGAGTGGGGCTGATTGGGGGTGTCAGGGAAGAACTGTTCCAATTTTCCAACGTGGCTGGTGACACTGTTTGGGTGGCAAAGATAACTTCTGCCTCTTCATCCAGAGCCCTCCAGGCCACGCTCTCAGAAGTTCTCCAACCTCAGTTCCCCAGGCAGAAAGCCGTCCCCCCGCCCCACCATTTCAAAATGTAATTCCAAGCTATCTGATGAAGTCATGGTCACACAGCACCGGGAAAAGTAACAGCTTAGAAGTCACTTTGTGACCTGCCATTTACCTAAGCAAGTTTGGTTGATCATCAGCTTCCTATAATAGGATGAAATTCCAAATACTCAGTGGGTAATTGAAGCCAAATTATTTTGGAAATTGCATGTGCATGTATACATATGCTTATTCTCAACTTGCATGTGTGTGCACGTAAGTGAGCAGGCAAGGATACACAGAGCAAAAAACCAACCCTTGGAGGCCACAAGAGATGTCCAAGGAGCAGACAGACGCATTCTCAAATGGAGCTGGATTCCAAGCGCTTTCACTACTGTCCTGGCCCCTGGCTCCAGCTTTTATTAAACTTCATTAAGACCTCCAACGTGTGACCCACACTCACCCCTAATCCCAAAGTCCCAAGTTCCTTTCTCACCACCTTGAGCCTTTTGGTCCACATGACGATAATCCTCTTCCAAACACTCATGACTCACTCACCTCTTGCCCCCAAGCCTGTCCTCCCAGAGAAGCTCCTCTTACTCCGGTCTAGCCCAGTCATCCACCCACTCCATGGCTGCATACTGATGGAGACCAAACACACAGCCACTTTGTTGGTCAGC